TAAAAACGAAAAATCTACTGTTGCCAGCATACATGGTACAGATATTAATGATTTTGAGACATACTCCCTCCGGTCCTTGATATAAAACATTTTGATTTGTTCTAGGCTTAACCTAATAAGCATTTTTAATTGACAAAAAGATGTTCAAAATATATTTTCGCATTCGTTGTATTCTCTTGATTATTATAAAATATTTTTGAGATTTTTTTATCAATTAAAAATACGTACTACGTTGTACCTAGAACAAATCAAAATATCTTATATTAAGGGCCGGAGGGAGTATTTATTTAGAGATTTTTTAGTTTCTGAAAGAAACCTTCCCACTCAAATCCAAATAAATTTGAGCAATAATTTTGGGTACTAAGTACATCATATAACCCCCAAAAAATAAATAAAACTATTACAATAATTGAAGATCAGTTCAAAATAAATTGATGGCAATAAGTTGAGTTTACTAAGAACCTCTAGGAAAATAACTTCCCAAATAAAATGGCAATGAAGACAATGGCTCCAAAATATTCATTTGATCGGAACCTACGAGGGGGCAAAAAAATTATTTGTATAAATTAATTAAAATGAGTCGAAGCCAAAATGTGTGTGGAATATATATGGCATGGGATACCCACTCTGTCACAATCTGCTGGGTTGTCTAAATCAACCGTCCAAATTTGCCAAGCAAATTGAGCGGCAGCAGGAAGCATAAGTGCGTAAAACGGCCATCCTATTCAAACCACCACATCCGAAAACAAATAAAAATTTTGAGACAAAGATCATTAGAGAACGCATCGACAAAATAAGTGAGCTTAATTATGATTCGGTTCGAATTTAGATAGTATTTATTTTTGAACCGCATGCAGATGAGCAAATTAGTTAAATTAATAGATAGTTAGCTACCAATATTAGCATTGAATCCACTTAGTGCAAAACTAAGCAATTGATGCAATTCCAAAGACACTATTCCAGAGCTTTGTTGAATCCCCTAGAAACAATGCTGTAGATTTGACTCCCGCTTTCACATCATCTGTTTTATCCTGCATGGTTTCATGACGTTTCATTGAAATAAATACATACACTTTAAAGAAATATTGTAAAATTTCACAGATGTTGAATTATATCACTCATTTCCTACTAAAAGTAAGTGTAGTTGAATAGTGGAAAAATGCATGCAAAAACACATGTCGTCCAATACTTTCAAAGCATTTTGTTCAAAGGTTCATAATTATTATCTTGAAAAGGAAATATTTCAGACTTTATGATTCTCAAAATTTTAACGTCTCAAAAGAATTACAAACATTGCTTCCAAGCGAAAAACGTAAAATCTCTACTAAGCCACGTGGAATTTGCAAAAAACAATATTCAATCTTATGCAATAATTAATCCTGTGAGATTAATATATAAAACTTGAGGTTGCTGCAACTGTATACCTCACCAATGAATGTTGCATCGGTAGCAACTTGTAGTTAGCCTCCACCCAGAATTTCATCCCAACCTGAAACGTTGATAGCCTTTGGGTTTTGTAGCTACCTTAACTGTCATGAATTCCTTTCTTTTCTTGGTTTCGGAGAGAGTGATCATCATGTTCAAAATTGCTGAAAATCTTTTGCAAGTGATACTTAAGAGTCTCCTTAGTGCGAACGCCCATACTGTTGAACCTCGAATGCACTTCCACTAAAAATGCAGCAATCCAAGATAAACAGCAAGTCACAAATTGTAGCATTTTGGAGAGAGTACCACCCCTGAAACTTGTAATCAACTCAGGCCAAGATTTCCAAGCTATTAGGCTTTTAAGATGACACTCATGCTACATTAACTCCCTTTCGTTAGCATATGCTCTTAAACTCAAATTCAGCAAGATAATACCCTGATTTACATTGGTTAGCCACTTGATCAAATTCATTCAAAGGCACCTCTATGCTAACAGTTGTCCCCCTTAAAACACGTTACCATAACTTCCCATGATCTAAGAAAATCATTCGAACCTATCACTTGATTCGGTGTGGCAATTCAGTTAACAACCCAAATATCTGTCGCCTTTTAAAAGACGACAAGATAGTTTAACTCTTGTGTCATTATGATTTTGTGGTTTTTTTTTTTTTTGTGAAAATTAAAGATGCCATAGCGCCAGAAGAAAATTGCCGCACTTTGGGAACACTAAGTTGATCTCTTGCATCAGATATGTGGCGAGATACAAACCTGACACAAAAACGTCACAATTGCAAATTTTACATCAAAATGACCAAAACAAGTGTCGTGATTTACTGCGCTAAGTGTTGCCAAAAGTCGCAGCACGTCTTAGTGCGCCATTTGTTTGAGTCTAGTAATTATGTGCAATACATTATGGGCTGCACTTCCGATAGTTTCCACAACACAATTCATGTGAAGAAAAAAAAGCCATCTCTTGTAGTGTTATGCCAAGTGCATTATTCGTTTTGTCTCCGCTTCAGCTAGGCATGGCGATTGTGATTGGGGTAGTGAAATTCTATTTTGGTTGAATTTACCATATACCCCCTGAGTTTTAGTAATGCTACCCCATACCCCATTGACTTATAGTCAGCCTACGAAACACTCTTAAACATACAAAAACTATAACGAATTTTGTGTAAATGGTCAAAAATACCCTTTAATCTGCATTTTTAGATTATTGTATAAATGTTTTTAAAAAATATATCATAAGTTAAATTAAAAAAATATTCAATACAGATTCTTTTACCTTAATACATTGAAATAATAAAATTTTGACATTAACTATACCATGTCTTTTGAAATAAAAATTATTTTCAAAAATTAAATTTTTTTTGAAGCATATTAAGCTTATATTTTTAGTGATGGATTAACTTTCATATATTAACTTGTTATAATTAAATTTGAAAATGACAAGTTGAGTAATTTTTATTTTTAATGATAAAAAATGAAGAAAAACAAAATCACAGAGGAGAAAAGAAAATTAAGTGTATGTAAACCGAGGTCATTTTCGTAGTTTTAATTTTAACTCCTTGTTTGGGAAGTATATGATAATATCACTCAAACTCGGGGGGTTTATCATAAATCAAGAAAAAATTGGGGGCGGGGGGTAAAATGACGTTCGCCCATTTTAAATCTTACGCCTAATCTCTATTTTTGGACAATTTCAGTGATCGTGATTCATGTATAAAACGATATAATTAGTCGGTGTCTCTACCCACAGAAAAAGTAAGATCATAATTTCTTGTAGAACCCTACAAAAAAAAGAATGGGCATCAATAATATCTTCTTCTTGTTAAAAATTTTCAAAAAAAAAAAACAAACAATTTTTTAAATAATATTTAAAAAGGAAAGAAAAAATCTGCATGGGGGACCTTCCTTTTAAACCCGTTGAAACAACTCCACCGTTAGTATTTCCTTACTCCCTCAACACGTTAATTACGTCTTCTGAAACTCCTCAATTTAACGCTTACAAAACATCTTCATATCCTTTCCAACATTCCTCACTCTTCTTAGCTTAGTGCTTGGACTTTAACAAGAAGAAAAGAGCGAAAGAGAAAGGGCCGGAAGAGAGGGGACGATATATTAGCCCCGAAGGAAGAAAAGAAAAAAGAAGAAATAGAGAGGTATGTCTTTCTGAGAATTAATTTCGTCTTTCTTTTTCATTATTCTGGTTGGTTTTTAGAACTAAATTATCATATTCTCAAATTTACAAGATATAAACTTTTTCGATGAATTTTAGTTAGAAGTTTTGGGATTTTAGCAGGTTGAGCTTGGTGCATGGTTAGTATTGATTATTTCTAGGACCATAATATGCCATGATCCATCCGTGTTCTAGAATTCTAACTCTATATATATATATATATATATATATATATATATATATATATATATATATATCTTCTGCATAAAGTACTTTGTTTTTGTTTAAAATGGAGAAGTTTGGAAGGGGGTTGCTGGTTATCTTTTACTGGGATGATGGAAATGATGCTAATGAAGAAGATGATAAGGAAACTTTTCATGAACACGTTTTTTTTCCCCCTTTTTGTCCATTTTTAAATAACGTTATATATATATATATATATATATATATATATATATATAAACTGGTGAGGACAGGAAGAAGAACGAGTAAAAAGAAAAGTAAAATGAAGAGCTTGTTGATTTGGGAGTTTACAAATAAAGTCTCTTTGGCACTCTTAGGTTAGTAAGTACCTAAGGTTTTATTTTATTTTTAGAGAGATTTTTTAATTGGACGGGAGTCGTGGTAATAACAATTTGGATTAGTTACAATTTGTCCTTGATATTTGATCTTATAACCAATTGTCTCCCGGTCTCCCCTCATCGTTTGTGATTTACAACTCATTCTCCCTTAGAAGCCTTAACCGGTAATTCTTGAAAGTCAACCAGCAATGTCTTGGAAAAAAAAAAACTATCTCAGATATTGCAACGGTGATAGTTGGTTGAATGATGTGGTAAATGGCACATTTTTCAAATCAATTATCATTATTAATATGAATGCTCTGACACGATCAAGTCGCTTGTGTCATATTTCTTAATTGTCTATTATTTTATTATATATTACGCATTGTTTCTTCGCTTATGTTTTATTATGAATAAAGTTCGATTGCAAATATTAAGGAATTGACTCGAACGTATGTTTTCGTGTTGGATTCACAATTAAATGTGAGTTATGTTGGGTCATCTTGACCGAGTTGGGATTGAACTATGACGAAATCTAATTGTTGCAGGTTATAGTATCTCAAATTGTTAGGAGGTTGTCTTCTCAGATCAATATTGTAATTTTCATACGTGGTAATTTAGTAATTTGGGCCTTTCAGCCTCCTTACTTGTACCAAAAACATCAAATCCTCTATAATGTGTATTAACGTGGTTTATATCATGTTTTCCAGTATTTCCGTAGTGTTTTTTTTTTCTACTTTGATCGACCTCATAAAAACAGTGTTTTAACATTTTCCGTTGTTTATATAATCAGATCTGCGCTGAGCCCAAGTTCTGGTTCCGCCACAGTACTGAATATGGACATTCTCACTTCAATAGTTACAGCGATTTTAGTTCTCTTCACAACTTTTGCAGCTTTGGCATCAAAAATTTACATTGGGAAATCAATCGGAAGCAAAAAATATCCACCTGTAGTAGGAACAGTGTTTCGACAACTCTTTCATGTGAACACATTTTATGATTTCCTGTCTGAAATGGCAAAAACACAACCTACTTTTAGATTCCTCGGACCGGAACACAGCATAATATACACAGCAAATCCCGCAAATATCGAGCACATTCTCAAAACAAACTTTCACTTATACACCATAGGTTCCGGCAATGGTGAACAAGTTTCCTCGGACTTATTTGGCCAGGGGATCTTCACCGTTGATGGCGAAAAATGGAAGCAGCAGAGGAAGCTGGCTGCGGCCGAGTTCTCGACAAGGGTATTAAGAGATTTCAGCTGTGAAGTTTTCAGAAGAAATGCAGCCAAATTGGCTCAAATGGTTTCCGAGATTTCTCAGGCCAACCAAGTTTTTGATTTACAAGTGAGCGAATCATTGTTGGATTAACTAGAAAAATCTATCTAAGACTCTTATCTCTTATATCTCAAATCTTAATTTGTTTGAAATTTTCAGGAATTGCTGATGAGATGCACCCTGGACTCAATTTTTAAAGTTGGATTTGGAGTGGATCTAAACTGCCTACAAGGGACAGTACAGGAAGCAAATGAATTCATGAAAGCGTTCGATGATTCGAATGAAATAGTATTCCGGCGTCATATTGATCCACTCTGGAAGTTAAAGCGGTATCTTCAAATCGGTTGTGAAGCCAACCTTCGGAACAACATCAAAGTTATCCATAGCTTTGTTGATAGCTTGATCAAGACTAGAAGAAGACTGTTACATACGAAACAAGACATTGTGAGTATAACTCCCATGATTTTTGTTGTTACTTTGATATATAATGATTGCTCCAAAACTGATTAGTACTCTTTTTTATTTATTTATTTTTCATTTCTTGATCATGATTGCAAGAATGAGAAAGAAGATATACTGTCAAGGTTTTTGGTGGAAAGCAGAAAGGATCCGGAGAATATGAGTGATGAATATCTGCGCGACATTATTTTGAACTTCATGATTGCAGGAAAAGATACAAGTGCAAGCACTCTTTCATGGTTTTTCTATATGCTATGCAAGAACCTCTGGATCCAGGAAAAAATTGCAGGGGAAATAGATGAAGTTCTTGGCACAGAGCGGACGGATCTCAGTATTGATGACTTTGTGGCAAGTATTACAGATGAAGTGTTTGAAAAAATGCATTACACTCATGCAACATTGACTGAGACATTGAGGCTGTTCCCTGCAGTCCCGCTGGTAATTATTCAATGGATTTCGTGCCTAAAATTTTTCTTCTGAAATTCTGTTCTTTGACTTCTAATTCATATGCAAGAATCTTTAAAAAGGGTCATTTGCTTACTTGATATAACTAACTCAAGTACTCATTTTGCCTGAAAAGATAGTCCACATTGAGTTTTAGTATTTGCACCAATTTGGACTAGGTTATGGGACAAGAAGTATTTCCTCTGTCCCAAAATAATTGTCCAATTTGGATTGCATTTCTAGTACAAGTTGAACTAAAAGTGAAAATCGAAACATCGACGACTAATTTTGGGACAAAGGGAGTATGTTTTACTGGCCAAGAAACATGAAGAAGAAATCAATACAACAAAAGACTTGAAACCAGTGTATGAACACAGAATTTCCAGAATGGAGCTAATTTTATGTTATTGTGGTAGAATGGAAGGCGCGCATGTGCTGATGACATCCTTCCTGATGGTTTTCAAGTGAAGAAAGGGGATGGTGTTAACTACATGCCCTATCCAATGGGCAGAATGCCATACGTATGGGAAGATGATGCCAGGGAATTTCGACCCGAAAGATGGCTCCAAGACGGGAGATTCCAACCTGAATCACCGTTTAAATTTGTTTCATTTCATGTAAGGGTGTTCTTTCTTAAATTTTTCTTCAGTCTTTTTTCTTCTAGTTCTTCTTAAAGAATTACGTAATTTTGTATATACTAGTATTTCTCACTATAACTTTGTTGTTCAGGCTGGACCTCGACTTTGTATAGGGAAAGATTTTGCTTATCGACAAATGAAGACAATTGCAATAGCACTTGTACGCTTCTTCCAATTCAGATTGAAGGATGAAGCTCAAGAACTAACATACAGAACTATGTTTACATTGCATATCAAGGATGGCCTACGCATTCAAGCCATCCCAAGAAGCAAAGCATAAGAAAATGTGAATCACATCTTCCTCCGTCTCGAATAAATATCCTGTATCATCATGTGTTTTTAGTAGTGAAATTCCGATGCTACTGTATTTCATTCACGGATGCTAGTTTCGATCTGGCTTGCCCACTGAATACAGTCCATATACGAGCATTGCCTGGTTGTTTTCTTTTTTTTTTTTCTTCGTGACGCCTGGATATCCACAAGAGAGACGATGATTTTATTCTTCTGTTGATATTTGTAGTTCTATAAGGAATGAGTCTGTAAGGAATTTGCTTCCGAGTTTAATTAAATATGAAATGCCATACGAAATACTCCCTGCATTACTGGCATGTACCGAAAAAAGAAAAAGTTTTTTTAGGGTGACTTTTATAAATACGACATTTCGTCGAAAATACAGAAAAATTGGCTGAAATTTCTTACATATATATATATATACATATATAGAGAGAGAGAGATATATATGTAGCCACCTGTTTTTGGAGAAAACCTCATGATCGTATGATTTAAAAGTGAAGAAGAAGTCAGAGATTTGACTCATCCTTGGCCTTCGTCGCGAGTAAGGTGTTAGTTCAAACATGATATTTAATAATAATCTAGCGTTTTAAAACTTGAATCTCTCATATATTGTACCAAAAGGAAGACCTAAAATATGATTTTGTAGTAAAATAGTGGCAGAGCCAACAGGATTTGCACTTCTTAGAAAACGAAGTCTAGGGTTCAAATTTTTAGATCTCCAGAAACTTTCGCTCCCCAAGCACTCCGAAAATCTTTTTCTTACATCTTTCATTCATTGTCACTTCAATCTCTCTACAAATTAACACTATAAAATCTCAACAAGAAACGCACATTTGCAGAACAGTAAGGTAAAATCATCTCCCTTTCACTTCATTTAACCTTTTTTTTTTTTGTATATTTTTAAGTTATTCACCGTTGGCGACAGTGACTAATCCTTCCCTGGTCTCTATTTAACCTTAAACTTAGGTTTTACATAAAAGATATTGGGCCGAACCAGATTGATGGGTCAGAACATGCATTCGTTGCCGGATTCAGTCCATATAAATTTTCGTTTTCCTTTTCTTTTTCTCCCTTGGAAACTAAATTGCTGGCAAAAGGAAATCAGAAATTGGAGGGTAAATAAATGATTGATTATGCCATCCCCATGCATGCACCACATGAACCCTGATGATCAAATTAAAATATGCAGAAAAATCATTCAGATCAAGATTTGGACGCGACCTTTACCAACAAAGGCAGCTGAAATATGCACGAAATCCTCCACCTAAAACCATTATTTGCAGAAAACGAAAAGATTTGTCTTCATCCCTAAGTCATTGAGTAAGTTCCTCATAATTAATTTCTTCTGTACCAAGACAATAACTCACTTTGTTGAACAACACACATAGAACATTTATTTACAAAAAACACTGCTGGCAGACATGGAAAGGAATCAAGAAATTGGAATTTAGAAAATGATTGATAATGCAATGGCCATCCACCACATGGAATCATAATGAACAAAATGACAATAGAATTAAAAAAAAAAAAAATCATTTAGATCAAGATTTGAATGCTACCAAGCCACAAGCTAAAATCTGCATGATGGGAATTGAAAGGGTGATAATGGAGTTTTGATCGCGTGAGGGTGATAAAATCTGGAATCATATGTCATCATCAAATTAAAACTTCACGACTGTTTTGATGCAGATGGGTGATAATGGAGATAGCTTCACAATGAGCATGATGAAAAGTAAGTAAAATGAAAAAAAAAAAAAAAAAAAACCATGCAGACCAAGATTAATTGAATGCTACGAAGTGACAGGCTGAAAGCTGCACCACAACTTAATAGTTTTTTGCAGATGATGTAACAAGTTGTTTTCCGTCCCATAACCTGATGACCATCTCCTTAATTGCTTATTGGTCCGGAAGAACAAAAAGGAAACTTCACAACTACTGTTTGATAGGGATGGGTTATAATGGAGTTTGAAATGGTGGGATATGATAGGAGTAATTGATCTTAATTGCACAGACCGAAACTGCAACTATTGAATGAGACAATTGATAGACGCATCTAAAATAGTTATTTAATAGCTTGTGGCTCCCGATTGCAAATCTTTCACAGATCCTTGAGTGAAAAACTTGAATGGATATATATAATTAATTAATTGCGTACCCTTAACTTCTCTATCCGTGGGAATACGTATTTTGTTGATGCCGACATTTCAACAATACCACGTTGCGAAATTAAAGAAGATGACCTAGCTAGGGTTTAGCCAAGAACAAAAACACGCATTGATGATGGTGTGAATTTACAACTTCGATTTTATCTTCCGATGATTGTTGAACAAATTAATACATGACCTGTTTGTCTATATGGTTGGATATCAAGCTTCCACCTCAGCATATCAATGTGCTATTATTACTACGAAATCAGGTCCAAACTGTTTAAGCAAAATTTCTACTGATATGACTTGCTTGAAACCACTTAATTTCAAAACAATTAGGTGTGTGTCGTAGGACACGCTCGATCAAAAGATGTCAATCAAACCTAGAATTCGGTTGTGAAATAGGGCAAACGTAATCGGCGTGCCTAGCTAATTAAATTGGAAGAAAAAACGTTTGAAACCCAAACAATTGAACGAAGGAGAGATGTAAAGGTGACATTAAGAACGTAGTTTAATGAACCCATAGCTCGGAGGAGGAAAACTTAGACGTGTAAATTAATGAATACCATCTTGAGCAACAACCAATTAGTGGTATCAATTGGTGGTGCGATCTAAGCACGGCAACTTGTTGACAGAATATATAACACTACAAAATATGGTTTTTTGTTCATATGGATTGTGTCGCGGAAAGTGGTAGAAGTGCGGCGAATAATTTTTTGAATAAGTTACGGCAAATTAAAAAAAAATGACAGGCTGCAACTTTTGGCGACGCTTATTCCAAATGTGCTGCAAAAGATGCGACAGTTAGGCACATCAAATTCAAGACACTTGTTCTGGTCATTTTGATGCAATCTTACCATAGAATTATGGCGTTTATTTGTTTTGGTTTTGCTTCTTGCTACATATATGATGTGAGACATTGATTTAGCATTCTGAAAGTGTAGCAATTTTCTTGTTACGTGAAATTATGGCAATTTTTGATAAAAAGCTAAAAAACCATAACGAAACATCAATAAAATAAATTATCGCCTTTTATAACGAAACACCAGTAAAATAAATTGTCGCCTTTAAAAGGTGATATATATTTGTGTCGTTAATTGAATTGCGGCACAAAATAATCTGCAACGCACATTCCATCTTTTTTGAAATCTTAATAAGCGACCCATTTTTGAACTATACAAAGAATATGAAAATCCCATTTTTCGGGGGCATCATTGGTTTTTTACCCCTTCTTTTGTCATAATTCTTTATGCGGCACATCATTGTGCCATTATATGTAATGTTGTGTCACTTGACATTTACTTTAGGGAGCAATAAATGATCGACGGAAGCCAACTCGTCTTAGCAATGACAGGAGACGCATGAGCAAGCAGGGGCCTTTATTAGGGACCAAAGGGGTAGCTTTACACTAAATGTAAGGAGAACCAGCATCACAAGTACAGATCAACTGGAGAAACTCAACCGATTGGATGAATCCATTGTCGGAATTTTTTAAACGTGGCTTTATCATGATGGTATAGGAGTTGTTTATCACTGTAATGTATTTGAAACTTGAAAGCCTCTCTCCTCTTTACCCAATTTTTTTACTTTTTGCTTTTTTTTGGAAATAGTAATAATCACTTTAAAAATGCTTCCACTTAGAACCTTACAGACCATATCATTATTACGGATGAAAGTACTATTTTTATAGAACATTTAACTTTCAGACATCCTGGTGGTTATCAATTAGAAAATGCCAATGGCCGACGTCATTTAACGTTAGCCTCGAGTAAGATATGATTCTCACGACGTAATTTATTAGTGCACATCTTGAAAATATGCAAAAGATATGATTGTCCTCTCTGTTTCCTATTGTAAAAATGTTTTTCACTTTTGTTGTTGGAGAATTAACAATTTTCTCCCAGAGATAGCTAAGGAAGCTTAATTGTGATTCTCAAATCAATATAGGTTGCATGTGTTAATTAATTGAAGCAAAGCTACACTTTCAAATTATTATAGGTTGCGGCGCGCGGGCCTAAACGATCTTGTAGAGAACATTGAGAGATCAAACTAGATTAGGTTGATTTAGAGAAATAGTCACTTTAAAAAAGAAGTAGAGGGTTCAATTCTCTGAATAATTTTCAAAAAGTTTCATATACCAAACACTCCAAGAATAAATTTCTAACATACTTCACTCATTGTCACTTTCTCTTTTACAAACAAAGACTTTAAATTTTCACATGCAAGAAAAAAAGAGGTGATTTCATCTCTCTTTCTCCATTTCAGCCTAGGTTTTACATTAAAAACAGGGCCGAACTAAATGGGAACCAGTAATGCATTATTTGCCAGATCAAGTCCATAACTTCTTTTTCTTGAAAAACAAAATCTCGCGCCACACCGAAAATGAATGAAAAAGTTGGAGATCTAGCAATTAATGGATTGATAAGATGCACCACATGAATTATGATTATCAAATCGAAATGCGCATGAGAATCATCCACATCATAATTTGTACGCGACGAGCCGTCTTACCTACAAGGTGGCTGAAATATCCACGAAATCATCAAATTAAAGACACTTTTGTAGATAATGAAATATTAATGTTGTCCATCACTACTATTAAAGGTATCTTAATAATTACTTCCTATGTCCCAAAATTATTGTCCAGTTTGGACTTTCACTTTTAGTATAATTTGAACTAAAAATGTAAATCTAAACTTGACAATACTTTGCTAGAAATTTAAAGGCAGCCAGAAAAAAGATAAAGACCGCCATTGACCGAGAGTTGACTTCTAATTTTATCCTTATATTCTAAATTTCAAATTCAAATTTTAAAATTCCAAACTTGAACTCTACACCC